AAAAATATAAACAGGGGTGAGGCAAATAGAACACAAAGAGATAGGTAGATTTAAATCCAACAATATGAATAATGACATTAAATATAAATAGTCTAAACATTTTAATTAAAAGGCAAAGATGGTCATACTGAACCAAATTTTTAAAAATGACAAGAAATACTCTTTAAATATAAAGACACAACGGCTTAAAAGTAAAAGGATGGATGGGGTGCCTGGGTGGCTGAGTCAGTTGGGCAGCCGACTTCTGCTCAGGTCATGATTTCACAGTTCATGAGTTTGAGCTCCCCATCAGGCTCTGTGCTGACAGCCCAGAGCCTGCAGCCTGCTTTGGATTCTGTGTCTCCTTCTCTTTCTGCCCTTTCTCTGCTCATGCTCTGTCTCTCTGTCTCTCAAAAATAAGCAAACACTGAAAAAAAAAAAGCTAAAAAAAAAAAAGTAAAAGGATGGAAAAATATATGCCCTACTAACCCTACTAACACTAATCTAAAGAAAATTTGAGCAGCAATATTAATATTAGACAAAGTATACTTTAGAACAAGGACTGTTGTCATAAAGAATGTTTTATAATGATATAGGGATTAATTCATCAACAAGACATAATAATCCTAAATGGGTATGTACTTACTATAAGAACTTCAAAATGCAAAATATAAACTGACAGATCTTAAAGGAGACAAAGACAAATCTTATTTATATTTGGAAATTGACTCCTCTCTTTCTAATTAATAGAATATGTAGTCAGAAAGTCTGAAGACATAGAAAATTTGAACAAGGCTATCAACTAACTTCACCCAAAAGACATTTATAAAATACTATACTCTACAGCAGAATATACAAACTCTTTAAGCACACATTGAAAATTCACTAAATTTTACCATATTCAGGTCCATAAAATGTCTCAATAAATTTAGAGAATTGAAGTCTTATATAGTATATTTCATGTATACAAAAGAGTTAAAATAAAAACCAACAAGAGATGTTTGGGAAATCCCAAATTATTCCAAAATTTAAAAACAGAATTATAAATAACTCATAGATAAAAAAGAAATGACAAGGAAAAATAAAAAATGTTTTAATTGAATAAAAATTAAAATACAACATAACAAAATTTATGGAATTTAGCTAAAGCAGAGGTTAGAGGAAAAACTTTGGCAAATGCTTATATTAGAAAAAAGGGTCTCAATTACTATGCTTCTACCTTAAGAAATCAGAAAAAGAATGGAAAATTAAACCAAAAGCAAGCAAAGAAAATAAAATAATAAAGAGCAGATATCAAAACATAAAAACAGTACTAAAACAGTGAAATCAAAAACTATTACTAGGAGAAAAACAATTAAATTGATAAATCTCTAGTCAAATTGATCCAGAAAAAAAAAGAGACACACAAATTATTAATAGCTGGAATTTGACAACATTAAAATCCTAAAATATTAAAAGAAAGATGACTGCCCCTGAAGAGTTTATAATCTAGTTGGTAGCACAGGCTTAAGCACAGAAAACAATGAACAATCTTATACTCATATCAATAATAATAATAAATAACACCGATCCATTACCCGTTATATGCCAGGAAAAGTTCTAAGTACTTTATATACATTAAATCATTGAATCATCACAACCTTAATAGGTAAACACCATTATTAACCCCATTCTACAGATGTGCAGCATCTTAGGCACTTGCCCAATGTAGATATAATAGTAAATATGAGATAATTTAGTAATTCAGGGTCACCGGCATGGCATGGCTCAGTCAGTTAAGTATCTGGTCATGGTCTCACGAATTCATGGAATTGAGCCCTGCATCTGCTTCTGTGCTGACAGCATAGAGCCTCCTTGGAATTCTCTTACTTCCTCTCTCCCTTCCCCTCCCCTATTCACATATGCTCTCTCAAAATAAATAAACATTTTTTAAAAAGATAATTTAATAATTCAGATTCAGGAGGAGAAATAAGGACAAGGAAAAGAGGACTGCACAGTTCTTGGAAATTTGACATGGAAGAGATAAGGCTTAGGCTAGCTCTTGTAAGATCTAGCTTGATATCTATCAAGTTTTTTATACTAGGTGTCACAATCTAGTATTATCAGAGATCTAGTATTTTAACAGAGTAGTTTAAATCAATGTTTCAGTTGTTTCACACTTACTGAACACTTATGATTTAGGCTCTGGGATCACAGAGATGGACAAAAGATGGGAAATATAGAAACTATATATACATATACACATATACATATATATGTATATATATATAATATGCACCATACTAGTAAAAGTCATTGTGGGGTACCTGGGTGGCTCAGTCGGTTAAGCATCCGACTTCAGCTCAAGTCATGATCTCACGGTTAGTGAGTTCGAGCCCTGCGTCGGACTGACAGCTGGCTCAGAGCCTGGAACCTGCTTCGGATTCTGTATCTCCCTCTCTCTCTCACCCTCCCCTGCTCACGCTACCTCTTGCTCTCTCAGAAATAAATAAAACATTTTTTTAAAAATTAAAAAAAAAGAAGTCATTGAGATACAGTCCTCATTCTCAAAAAGCTCATAACCTAGTTAGTTGCATGTATATGTGTGTGTGCATGTATGTAAACAAATTAGAAAGCAACTGAGACTAGGTTATAATTATAAACTAACCTGAGTAATATTAAATGAGTTCAGGAAAACAGAAGATTAGTGTGAATTATCCTGACCTAGCTTTATAAAGCAGATGCTCTGGAGCTGAATACTGAAAAGCTAGTCATATACATATATATGTACAGAGAAAGAGAGAGAGAGGGAGAGAGAGAAAGTGACAATACCAGCTGTTGATAAGACAAGGAAAACTCAGGTGGAAATAAGCAGTCTACTTAGCCAGGTAGATAATGCCATCAAGATAGCTGAAAATGAAGCTGAAAGTGAAAAGAGGGAAGCAGCAATTAAGTTAGGGCATAAAAATTAATTTGAATTCCAGATTTTTGTTGAGAATATAGGCTTGGTAAGTTTTATTCCTAACTTCTAACTAAATTATTCTATTTTACACACGCAGGAGAAAGGGCCTAAATACAAGAGAGAGTGCAGGGAATTCCCCCAAAAACACAGAAAAATATGTTTCAGTGATCATTTGATATCCATATAATTTCCTGGGAACTCAGGTATAATGATAAAAATTAAAATAGAGAAAAAATATACCTAATCCAAGATCTTATTGATTTTTAAGGACACAAGTTTCTTTAAGCATTTACTTAACATATATCAGTGATGCCCCCCAAATATCATCAAGCTATATAAAACAGGAAGTTTTACACCAAAGAGTAATAGAAGCATCGATACCCCTATGGGCTGGTAAAGTGCCTGCTCTGCTCAAATAACAGAGCATTGGGTCTTCAGAATAACAAGGGATATTCCCATTGCAATTTGTCAGCAGACCAGCAAATATACTTAGTGACAGGAACACAAAGCCCAGGAATACAGCCTTACCCTCATTCATGGCTCAAAGCTCCTCAGCCAGCTCTCCTGGCTCCCTCTAATGGTCCCAAATACCAATTAAACAGCTTTACCATCTCTGTTTCTAAATTTGGATGTAGGTATCAAGTTTAAATACCTGATGAGACTAATTAAATACTTTGCAGAAGTGTGAAGTAATCAGTCCTAGGATGGAAGGAAAGAAAAGAAGGAAATCCCCAGAGGTAGATCTGACATGGTTCCTGTGCCTGTTGAAGTTTCATAAGATCACAGCTGAAAGAACATTCTACCATAAATTGAAAGGTTCTGCATTAACAGTAGGAAACAAAAACTCATCTCACAACTCATCCCCCACTAATTCAGCATATCCACCACGAATTCTAAAGTTGGCACATTGTCGTATATTGCCACCTAGTGGCCACAGGCAGGCATATGTTAACCTTAGCTGAGTCCAAAAGGTGACATTTTTCTGAAGTCACTTTCCAAGGACTTCCTGTTAGACTTGGCTATTCACCACATCAGGATGCCTAGTTGTGATTTCTTCATTCTACTTCAGGGCATACCCATGAAAGTGTAATAATTATTTTATTGTACACACAAATAGATACAAAATGAAAATGAAGCTTCACTCCCATTTAGTGGATTACTCTCAAGTACTCTGAAACTGCAAACTGTTCCCCAGGAGAACTCTTTTTCTTGACACTTATCATACATCTGTCTCTCCACCTTTTCTTCTCACTATTCTTTATTATTGTTGTGTCAACTCTGTCTATAGAATGCATACATTTTGATAGCATAATTTGCCACATGAGATATAACTGAGAAGAGAGGGCTGTATCAGAAATGCAACCAAATTGTAATAATATAAACATTTGAGAGGCTTTAGAATTGTTTCATTTTGTGGATTCACCCTTTCCCTCTGTCTACTTCTGTAACCATACAGTGGGAAAGAGAAAAGGATGTCAATGAATAATCAAAAATCAACAGAATAACAGAATATAACAAAAATAAAAATAACCCCAAGGATTAATTACTTCAGAGACCCTACTTCCTTCTAAGCAATATTTAGAGGACAAGCCCAAGCAAACCATTTCTAGACAGGAAGTGTGACAATTTTTGAAGATGCAAGTTATCCCATGGCAGTAAATTCTCTCAAAACATTTTTAGACCTACATTACTGTTTCTTAGTCAGATTTTTTCTGACCAGGCAAAATAGAAGATGTGGGCAATTAGATGAGGTTTGGACGTAGAACTATGAACAAGGGACAGCTTTCTTGGTTTGTCTTGGAGTTAGATATGCCACATTGCCATGTAAAATTTAGGGCATGCTTATACTAAAAAAATTACTCCTTGTTTATCTGAAACTCAAATTCAACTGCATGTCCTGCATTTTATCGGGCAATTCTACTTGGTATGGGAGAAAAGAACTCATTGAAGAAAATGAGTTCCTAGCAGAACTGGAGTCATTTTTATAAAAATGGTGCATTTGTGGCAGAGACCAATATTATGCAAAGGCCAATCGCTGTAAGCATTCAAATAATATCCTGCATTTACTTAATCCTTAAAATTTGTGAAATATTGCACATTTATTACATCATCTGGATTCTTCTAATGACAATCCTTATGTGAGTATTTTTATGCCCGTTTCAAGGCTCATGGATGTTAAGGGATTGCCATGGTGATCCACGTGAAGCTGTATGAAAACGCCAGAACTTGAATTCAAATCTCCCCAGATGGTACAATATCTGCAAATAAAGAAGATGTTCATGTGGACACTACCTAAGACTTTCCATTGTGAAATAAGGCCAGGAAAATGAAGATATTCTCAGAGTCACTGAGCTGTCTTATATATACATTCAGGCTACAGAGTCTAGTTTTGATTTTTTTTTAATCACAAAACATTCGCTTAATTTCCCCAAGTACATGAGACATTATTCTTCTGATGTCGGTTTATTCACACATATCCAAAATTTCTAAAACTCCAACTACTACTCTTTGTAAGCCATTTGTATGGTCCTAGAGACCTTTAATAAAATCACACTATAATCCAAATCTGTTCAACTCAGAGTTTGTTTTCCTTAGATCTTTACATTTGAAATTTAGGAAACGCTCTTGTAATCATTCCTTTGGCTGTTAAGAATCAGGTTTGTTTTTAAATTGTAGAGTAGTGACAGCTGGTGTTCACAGTGTGTATTGCACTTCTCCCTAGCACACTTTTTTAGCTTTTAGTCATGATTCTCCAATCTAGTTCTCATAAAAATTCCCTGAAGAGTTTTTTAAATGCAGCTTCCTAAACCTCATAGATTCTGACTATATACATCTGGAGTAACATATATTCTACAAGCCCCAGGGCTACCATACCTTTCCTCCTGGTCAATCTCCTGCAAGAGAACAGTATTGTGGATAAGAATCACTACAGATCTTGTGAAAAATATAGATTCTGGGGCAGCAGTATTGGAATTAAGCCACAGAGTCTGCCTTTCTAACAAGTTCCCATGTACTTTTATACGCCTATTTGAAACCTAAGCAATTCCACTTCTATATGTAGCCAGATCAACAAAGCCCAGATCCTGAGATTACAAATGTCACTTAATGGATGACTTTCACTCAGTGTTAAACAGATTTTGGTTACATCTTCTCCTCACCCTGTTCTCTGTTCTGCCTACATGCTTTGAGTCCTAAAACGTAGCCATAGTCACCTCAAGGAGAAGTAGCTCAAAACAAAGCAGGACAACATCCTGATGGAAGGCCTGCCTAAACTCATGCCTGTTCTTTCCTAGGCCAAATTATTTCCTGTTACCAGAGACAGGAAGGCCCAGGGCAGTATCACCCCGACAAGCACTGTGCACATATATGGAAAGCAAAGCTACAAATATAAAGTTCAGAGGACTTCAATGATGATGATACTGATGACAATGATGATAAAGATGATGTCAGCTCACATTTATTGCACACTAAGTGCTGTGCACTGTGCTAAATCCTTTACATGAATTATCTCATATAATCTAAATATATCTACAAAATAGGTAATATCATGGTGTCCATTGCTAATGACAGAGACAGAGAGACAAGCAGGTAGGTAATCATTGTATCTAATATCACAAAGTCCAGTGATTATGTGAATCACATTCATATTAAAAATCAAAATATTAAATAGAAGTCTTTTCTTCCATTTTGTCCTACAGAGACACAACATTCATTCCCTACAACACTTATGTGTTGCCATCTAGGAATAGATGGCTAGAACAGCCAAGCTGTTTCCAGGAAAAGCTTGAGTTTTCTAGAAATGGCTAAAATATATGCCTATCTTAATGTATCAAATATTGTGTCACTGATGTGGACAATTTAAAAAGACGTGTTCTCAACATACTGTCTTCAAACTTCTTTTTTTTTATTTTTTAATGTTTATTTTTGAGAGAGAGAGACTGTGAACTGGGGATGAGCAGAGAGACGGGGAGACAGAGAATTCAAAGCGGGCTCTGCGCTGCGACGAGAGATCCCAATGCAGGGCTCGAACTCACAAACTGTGAGATTGTGACCTGAGCCAAAGTTGGACACTTAACTGACTGAACCACCCAGGCACCCTTATTGTCTTCAAACTTCTAATGTCCTTTAGATATGTTTGGTTGAGCAGAAAATAGTTCATCTTGTCTTTTGGTTTTATAATCCTACTGTCTTTACAGAAAGAACTAGCTGCAATACAATGGTCTTTCCAGGTCGAGCACTTATTACTATATATTTCTTAGTTTTCATAAGTATGCATCTTTGTTACTAAGAGTTAGTGTTTTCTAGAATAAAAAGGAAGAATATATTTATCAAAAGCCATCAATACAGGCAGCAGTAAGAGCGAGATGCATTATACATTGACCTCTGAATAATTTCATGATCTGGTGAATGGGTCAATTTTTACAGTTCTGTGAAATTCTGAAGAATAAGAACCATCCAAGAGAGTGAAAGGGAGAAGGCAAATAGAGAAAAGAACATTGAAATAAGTTGAAAGACAGTTACTCACCTCTTTCTCTTCTGACTCTTATTGTTGGGCAAGGCACAGAGATTTCAGAGCCAGACAAATCCAAGTCTTAATCTCACATTCACCACTACATGTAGTTATATGGCATCAGGCAGTTTGCTTAGCCTAAGTCTCAGTTTCTTCACTTCAGCAGTGTAGACACTATTACTCTCCCAGCCCAGTTGTTGGGTAGATAGAGGTAGAAAGAGGGTATGGAGGTATGGAGCCTGGAAATAGAACAACAAAAAGTGGCTGTTGTTAATGATCACTACTTCTTCATCTGTTCAACTTTCAACAAATATTTATTGATCACCTCTCTCTGGGGCAGGAATACAGGAAAGTCCCAGGAATACAGTAAATAAACAGATAAAGTCTCTGCCCTTAAGAAGTTTCTGTTTTATTCTCTGAATACCAAGTTATCAAAATTCCACCCTCCCATACCCTACTCCTCTGAAATTCCTCTGGCAAAGTCACTATGGCTGGATTTACCAAATGAGATGGACCTCAACAAGAACTTTTTGTAGCATCTAATAATATTGAGTACTAATAACTATAATTCTTGATATCTAGAATACTCTCTCCTGATTTCCTTCTACTTTCTGATTGAAACTTGGAGTTTCTGTTGCTAGTTTTTCTTCTCTTACCCCTTTAATATTTCTTAGTATGCTGGCTTTGCCCTTTATCTTTTACACTCTACACTAGTAGTTCTCGAACTTTAAGAGTCATGAACTCCTTTATAAATCTGCAGAAGCTACGCACCCTCTTTGGGGAAGGCGGGCAGGAATCTACAAACAAACATACAAAACTTTGCATACATTTTCAGGAGTTTCATGACCTATCTCTCTTCCCATAAAGCCCATTGTTCAACTTCATGTTAAGGGGTTCTCATGACTTTAACTATCACCCACATGTCAATGACCCTCAAATATCTGTCTCCCACGTAAACCACTTTCCTGAGCAATGGGCCTACTTTTAAATGACTTATTGACAACTCCACATGAATGTCCCTTTAGGAATCCTAAAACACAAGCTATCCCAAATCAAACTCTTCATCCCTCTCCAAAAACCTGTTCTCCTGGATGACAATACCTCTGGGAAAGAAACACTATTTTTGAAGCTAACAGACCTAGATTTAAGTCCAGCCCTGGAAGTTTCAGAAATATACCTAACCCGTTTCTGCTTTAATTTCTTCATATTTACCATGAGAATAATACCTCCATTTTCTTTATTTTTGTGAGAATTAAAACAGATCATGGGAAAATCCCTACCTAAGTGCCACTACAAGTATACATTCCACAGATATTAATACTACTGAATTCCCAATACAGCAAAAGTAACACATTTCACCAAGTACCCTAAGTCAAAAGTTGAGGTGTTATCTTCACACACCCTTCCAACTTATCTTCTAAATGGCAGCCCAAGGTCTCCCCAAGACACAAATCTGGTATTGCCATGACTCTGCTTCAATTTTCCCAATTGTTTCTCGCTGCTCCCAGGATTACATCCATCTCTGTATTGCACTGAAAGCTGACTATCATCTAGACCCTGTCTGTGTCAAACTCATTTTCTGGATTACTTGTATATTTCCCCCAAAGAGTGCTTTGGATTCCATAGCTCTGTACACACTGCTCCCTTTGCCTGAAATGTCCTCAACCCTCCACATCATTTCTTGGTATTTAGGAAAACACCCATTCATCGTTCAAAATACAGTTCAAGCATCACCTCTGCTATGAAGTTACTCTTGACAGCTTCCTGCCATACTGTTGATCACTGACTCCTTTATCTCCTACCTGTACCTGACAGATGATTTATATCTTGGTAAAGATAAATAGCATATGGTTCCTGGTTTCAAAAAGCTTACAATCATCATTCAACCAGAAATCCTCTTATATAACCTGTACAAGTAAGCCAAAAAGTATGAGGCATGAAAAATTGAGTTGTAAATAACTTCAACACTCAGCTCAGGGGCCGCTTCTTCGAAGCCTTTCTGTGACTCCAAGCTCTGAGCTGTGTGTGTGCATGTTATAGCTATAAGTGTTAGCTATATATAATCTCATTTACTCTTTACAGTGTATGGGTGAGCACTATTATTATTCCCGTTTTACTGGTGAGGAAACTAAAGCAAAAAGAGACTGAGTAACTCGTCTAACATTACCTAACGAGAAATATTGACATGAAAAAAGTATGGATTTCAGGTAATTAAAAACACACACATTGATAAATGAAAATTCTGTACTGTTTATAAAGAAGTAATTTGATATACATTTATTAGGCCTATTTAGGCCTGGTACACAAATAGAAAAACCTAAGCGCCCTATACTCGAAAACAGTGATTTGTGCGAAATTAACAACTATGATGTATCTCTTGAGGGCAGTAAGAACGCCTTATGGTAGCGGAATCTACCAAACACTCAACGAGTTGACGAACGAAAGTAAATCAGCCGCTTAACCGAGACCAAGAGCCCTGCGCCTTAAACCTACGTCACCCAGCCTCACCTTTTCTCCTCCTACACCGCTTTTACCCAAGACTATCCAATGGAAGGTAGGCTCTACATACCTATTGTGCGCGTGCGCATCATGGATTCGACGATCCTTCCTATCGATGCTTTCGGAAGCAACTTCTTCAGCCTGGTCACTGCCAGCGTCGACGCAACTTCTGCCGCCGTCGCCGCCGCCATTTTGACGGCGGAAAGAGTGAGGGTCTGGGACACCTGGAAGAGGCGGTGGTGATGGGTAAGGGTGGTTTCCGCTCGCGTTAGCCCCTCCAAATTCGCCGGTCTTGGGGCCACAGCACTCGGTATTGTTTTTATTCCCACAGGGTCTCTGTGTCCCTCCCCAGTCCTGTCACTCTGTCTTTAGGCTGTTTTTCGCTTCCTCACTGTCAGCTGCGCTCGAACCCTCGTTTGGAGCTGTTATCAACCACCCCCAATCATCCGCCCCGCCCCGGGCCTGTGTTAATATACCCGCCTTGACGCTCGGGACTCAGGCTAGGTCACAGACTCCTCGTTCCCCGCCCTTATCTGATCTGAGTTGCTTTTGGGGGTGGGGGACACAAACCGAGAGGGCTGAGTGCCGCACGGCCTCCTCTGGGCAGGGCTCTGTGCCCTTTGGGGGGGACGGGGGGTACCAATTCCGGCATTTCTGGGTTACGAAGAGAGCGTGGGCTTTAGTTTTGGTGGTGGTGGTGGAGAGAAACAGTCGGCGCTACCCAAGTTGTGTGTTGTTACAGCTTAATTTGTCACTAGCCTGTTTTGTCCTTCCTCAGGAATCACTTCACGAAAGGAAAGATAATTTGCGTCCTCTCTCCCCGCTGGAAATGGCCACTGTGAGTAAATTAGTCTCTTAAGCCGTATAGTGGTTTGGGGACTTTTAGGAAATGGAGGGATTGGTTTAATTATGATGGCATTGGTGACATAGTGTTTCTTGTGTTTAGACTGGTGTGTGAAAAAATGTCAAAGGGTGTGAAATTCTGTCTGTTTTGAAGATAGTTTCAACAAAAACGTTCTATTCGGTACATATGTACTTGTTTCTACAAATTAATTTTTGGAAATAAATTCAGCGCCAGCATCCTTCCAGTATTTTTAAAAGACATTATTTCAGGAAATATTTAGAATCTATTTTTAAGCCACTTTTTTTTTAATTTGGGGGGTTAGCTAAACTGAAAGTTTCGCGGCGGTTTCAGTATAGGAAGTAACTTTTTAAACCCTACAAAATGAGAACAAGAGATAGGATTCACATAGACCAGAAATATTGATTGTAACTCTTAAGTAATTAATCAGACATCTCTTACCATAGGAATTGATATAGGGGGACATTGGGCATACATGAAATAGCTGCATTAAAAAGTATAAAGTAATCGGTGCGCCTGGGTGGTTCAGTTGGTTAAGCGTCTGATTTTGGCTCAGGTCGTGATCTTGAAGTTCAGAAGCCATGCATCAGGCTCTGCGCTGAGCATAAAACCTGCTTGGGATTCTTTCTTTCTCCCTCTGCCCCTCCCACGCTTGTTCTCTCTCAAAAGAAGTAAATAAACTTAAAAACTATGTGACCATATTAAGTAACTATTTCTTAAAAGCTACACAAAGATGCAGTGACGATTCAAAGCTTTGTAGAGAGGAGAAGCTAGGGGGTTCACTTAGAAAAGCATTTAGCCTGAGGTGTGAAAGAGTGAGACTTGAATAATCGGAGATTTGAATGAAGAAACAGGAGGTATATTCAATGACCCCCCTCCCTTTCAGAAACCAAGAAGTCATTTCTGCCTTTTGGAAGGAATGTAAGATATGTGAAAGAGATTAGTGGGAAATAACGTTGGATTGTGGAGTTGGAATCAAGTAATAGCCTTGAGTGTCACACACAGTATTTGGATTTGATTCTTTAAATCGTGTTCATCTTATCGGAGCTGTATTAGGAATATTAATATGGCAGTGATTAGCCAGGATAAGATTTGTGTAATGGAGCATGATACATTAAGAGTCTAATGATGTGACTGCAGGGACAAGTCATAAAAGTAGACCACTAGTCTCAACCCCATTTTAAGATGAATTTTTACCTAGTCAAGGGAAAGTTGTAAAAGAAGCATGTGATACTCTCAAAGGAGAAACTTTAATTAGAATAGAATATTAATGTTTAACCTGGCTTTATTTTGATTGAATTAGTTCAGCAGTGTGAATATTTTGAAAGATGCTTTCACAAATCTATAGATTTTATAATCTATTGTTAGACGTTCATATAAAATAAATTTTAATTTTGATATTCACATATACTTTTAAAACTTTGTGTCTGTGTGCATTGTAAATACTGAATGGATGTCAGTAATGAAACCTGCAAGTATGTGTGTCTTCAACAATTCAGTTAGCATACATAGTAAGAGTTGTAAATGTCCATGCTTCGGAAGCTGGACAGGCAAGTCAGGATGCCTTGGAGGGAACTTGACAAACTGCAATGTTCACTTCTGATGTAATGGGAGGAGCCTTCCTTTGATGAGGTGGGTGATTTGTTGCTAAGCAGTGCCGTGTGAGAATATGAATCCAGGGCTGCCAGCTCTTCTGAGTTTTCATGAACAGTACTAAATCTGGATTTTTTTGTGGGAATCTATAATTTCTCAATGTTGATATTCAGTTCAAGTTCCTTCTAACAATGGGGATCCCACAAAAATGTCTATAGATGCATATGAATGAACTTCCCAGATGACGAGTTTTCAGTCGTTGGTATAGACCATATTTTCTGCTCACATGACCAAAAGCAGGATTTAGTCCTGAAACAGTACCTAAAAGGCTGTTTCTCTTTTTATACTCATAAAGATTTTAGAATTCAATCTTAATAGCCTGTCATCTTCCCAAGTCTAGGATCCTAGCTTTGAAGCAATCATATGTAAAATGCTTACTTGTCCTTACTAAAATAAAGTAGCTATTCTAGTTTTTGAGTTATTTATTGGCTGTCACTTTAAGTTCTTATATTTACTAGCTGACCCAATGCCATAAAATCTGCCACGTTTGCATAAAACCTGCCAAGTAAAGAATTTGAGGATCAAAACAAGTTAAGATAAAATTTGAAACACATTACCACTGTCGTCAGCTATTCCTTTCAGTGGACAAATTAGATATCTAATGGCTTATTCTGCCATTAAAATGAAACTTGGTTAAATAAATAAAGTGAAACTTGGTGAGTAGATTTTCTTAGATTGGGAACAAAACTCACATTTTATTATAACTTTTGTTAAAAGCTTTACCATCAAGGAAAAATACCAAAGTAGAATTAGTGGCCTTGATACTCAGAGGCTAAAATAATCCTTGATAATGTTAGGCAGTTGCTAAAATAATTTGGATAATCTTTCTTTTCCTTTTTTACTTGCAAAGCAATTTATTATCACACATAATATTTTAATCTTAAAATTAAATTTAATATATAATACTTTAATGTTTATGGTATATGGAAGTGTTGTGGAAATAAGTAAAACAGTACATATAAGCACTTAGCACAGAACCTAGCCAACAGTAGCTAACATCCATTGATTATTTACTATTTAATGCCCCCTTCAGATTAATATTTTATTGAGCCTCTTATTATTTTGAGGCCTTGCCTAAAATATTTTTGGAATTTGACATTTATATTGCCTTTAGATCCTGAACCATATTCTGTTAAATGTAAATGTCTTCAATTGTAAAGGTAAATTTCAGTTATAGAAACACCCAAAAGTCTGAGTCTGTCTGGTTGGTTAAAATCTAATACCTATAACATTTGTTTTGGGGGGCAGGTTGGATGCTAACCCAAGGGAGCATGCTTAAATTTTCAGGTGGCAGAATACTCTGGAGACAGGTCTTGTACTTTGGAGACACATAAAGGAGGTTCTGTTTATCCAGGTTTTGAAACTTGCTAGACCTAGGAGAGGGAAAAGGGAAGAAATGTTATGGTAGTATAAAAGAAGGCAGAGAAAAATGGGAACTGTTAGGCAGATATTTTTATGTGGCTGAAGAATAGAAAAGGGAAGGGACGGTAGAGTTAGTAAGAAATTCTGCCAGAGAAGTAGAAAGACCAGTTAGGATGTTCTCTTCTATTTATGGTGAGAAAAAGACCAGGTACATGGGTTAAATTTCAGAATACTATGTGATAGGGATAGTATTCTAAAGTATCAAATGGCTAGACTATTTCAACATCCTGGCAACTAGTTTTCATGCCACCTCTTTAATCCCACTCCAATCCCTGCTGCCCTAAGTGGTACATTCCTAAAAACATTACTTATTTTTATCAGTTTACACTATATTTCCCTGCCTCCAGATTAAAATTCTGGTTTATTTTCTTGATGCAACAAGCCCTTTGCTGTGTCAAATATATAGCGTTTTGTAATTGCCCATAACTTAATTTTCAAGCCTGTTTTTTACTGTACTCACATATGTATGTGTGTGTGTGTGTATATATATATATATATATATACCCTCACTGAACTTTTCACTGTTTTGAAAATACCTTTTATGACTATGCATCTTTTCCTAAAAATTACGCACTAAAATGCCCCTTCCCTCCTCAACTTAACTGCTGTTTTTTCAAAACCTAGTGTATCCTTTGAAACTTTTCCTACTCCCCTTAAGGATCTCTTAATTGTTCAAATCTTTTAATACCATTTCATAGATAATATGGTGTTTGTTTTTAAATATTGCTTACTAAACTATGAGTTGGCATTTTAGTTTTTTTAATGCAAAGGGACAAATAAGTAAATATGTTAGGCTTTCTGCACCCTATGGTCCCTGTGCAACAACTTACTGCCATTATGGCATGAAAATAGCAATAGACAATACATAAATAAATGGGAGTGACTTTGATAGAATAAAACTTTATTTACCAAAACAGCAATCTATATTCAGCTATAGTTTGCCAACTCCTGTATTAAATTACTCTGACCCAGGTATTTTGCTAGAAGTTTATGCATGAAAGATGTTTACACGTTCACCCGTTGTAACTAACCTCAGAGACCAGTAAAAATGAATATAGCAAAAAATGAACCACAAAGCTATGTACTAAAGGTTTTGAAAGTTCCTTAAGAATTGAAGAATCTTCTTTGTACTACCTTTTCAGTATTGTTCCAAAATAGGGCAACTTTTAGAGGTTCCTATTCTCTCTGCTGAGGCACTCTCAATTCTGGCATTTATTGGTAAAGCCATATACTTTTATACAAAGTAACTTATTTTTTTTAATAGACTTGTTTTAAAAATTATATACATAATGCCTGCCAAATGGTAGTGGCTCAGTAATAGAATAAAATTTGGTTTTAAAAGATATATTGCAGTGTGAGGATTTGCCAGGGATTGTCTATGTAAGTATAAAATGTATGTTATTAACAAGTAATTTTAATTTTGTGTTATTCTTAGGTGCTGTGTAATAGAGCCAGACTGGTTTCCTATCTCCCAGGATTTTGCTCTTTAGTTAAAAGGGTTGTCAATCCCAAAGCCTTTTCAACTGCAGGATCTTCAGGTTCCGATGAGCCTCATGTGGCCACTGCACCTCCAGATATATGTAAGTAAAATTTATTATTGATTTACTTACAATTATTGCAAAAACATTTTGAGTTATGCTGTCTGTAATGTTTCTTGAGGTTTTACAAATCTTAAAAGGTTGAATTTATGGCATAAAAAATAAAATCAGAGCTCTGTATACATATTTATATTGGAAAGCTACAATGAAAAAAAGAATACATTTAGTTTTAGAAGCTTACTTTCTTGAACTTTAGTTTCTATATATTGTAAACACAATTAGTCCTACCTGAAACAAATCTTCTTCTGATCCCATAAACTACTTCCAATTATTTGCTGAATTTCTCAAATTTAGCTGGTACTTTGTGTATATATATACACACACATATATTATTGAAATATGATTAGCATACTTGCATTAGATTCAGAAGTACAGTATAATGATTTAGCAGTTATATACAACATCATCTTCAGGTAAATGTACTCCTAATCCCCCTTATCTCCTTCACCTATGGCCCTGGCCTCTTCCCCTCTGGGAACACCAGTTTATTCTCTTTATTTTGAGTCCGGGTTTTGTTCTTTTATATTTTACAGTCATCTCACAAAAATTTATCCTTCAAACTAGTTATCTTTAATGTAGAAAATAGGAAGGATTTTTGGGGGAGTATAATTAACAGTGTGTTAGTTTCAAGTATACAGTAAAATGATTCATCAGTTTTGTACATTTCTCAGTACTCCTCAAGATAAGTGTACTCTTGATCTCCTCTATTTTACCCATTCCCCATACATACTATCCATCTGGAAATCACCAGTTCTCTATTAAAAACTATCTTATTTTGTCCCTTTTTTTTTCCTTAATTCTGCATGAGTGTAATCATATAGCATTTGTCTTTTAATGACTGAATTATTTCTTTTACCATTATACCTTCTACATCCGTCCATGTTGCTACAGATGGCAAGATTTCATTATTTTATGGCTAAATAATATTCTGTTCTGTATATATATATCTTTATAGATTCATCTATGAGTGGATGTTTGGATTATTTCCATATCTTGGCTATTCTAAGTAATGCTGCATTAAATATAGGGGTCCATGTATCATTTTCTTTTGCGTTTTCATTTTCTTTGGGTAAGTACCCAGTATTGCAGTTACTGGATCATTTGATAACTTGGTTTTTAATTGAAAAAAATTTTTTTTAACATTTATTTATTTTTGAGAGTGACAGAGACAGAGTGCGAGCAGGAAAGGGGCAGAGAGAGAAAGAGATACAGAATCTGAAGCAAGCTCCAGGCTCTGAGCTGTCAGCACAGAGCCTGACACTCCAGGCTCTGAGCTGTCAGCACAGAGCCTGACACAGGGCTCAAACTCACAAACTGAGATCATAACCTGAGCTGAAGTTGGATGCTTAACCTACTGAGCCACCCAGGCGCCTCTCGGTTTTTAATTTTTTAAAGAGTTACCATTCTGTTTTGCACAATGGCTGCAATAAAGGAATGAAATTTGCATTCCCACCAGCAGTGCATGAGAGCTCCTTTTTCTCCACATCCTTGCCAACCCTTATTATTTCTTGCATTATTAATTTTAGCTGTTCTGACAGGTATAAGGTGAGATCACATTCTGGTTTGGATTTGCCTTTCCCTGATGATTATCGATGTTAAGCATTTTTTTCATCTGTCCACCATCTATATGTCTTAGACATGTCTGTTCAGGCCATCTGCCCATGTTTTAATAGGATGTTTTTTTTGGTGTTGTCGAAGTATTTTTATATATTTTGGATATTAACCCCTTAACAGATATATCATTTGAAAATATCTTTTCCCATTCAGTAGGGGTTTTTTTGTTTTGTTTTGTTTTTGTTTTCTTGCTATTGGTTTTCTTCACTGTGCAAAAATATTTCATTTTGGTATAGTCTTGATAGTTTAATTTTGCTTTTGTTTCCCTTGTCCAAGGAGTTATATCTAGAAAAAAGTTTCTGTAGCTGATAACAGGAAATTATTGCCTTTGTTGCTGAAGTGTAATGACATATAGTATTGTCAGTGTCAGGTGTACAACATAGTAATTCAGCAGTTCTGCACATTATACAGTGCTTACCATAAATATAGATACCATCGATCACCATATGATGTTATTACAGTACTACTGACCTGTCCTGCTTTTCATCCTTGTGACTTAATTTATTTTATAACAAAGTTTGTACCTCTTAGTCTCTTTCACCTATTGTGCCCATACTACTACCCTCTCTCCCTCTGGAAACAACCACTTTCCTGGATTTCAGTATGTTTCTGCATTTCATTTGTTCATTTGGTTTTTTGTTATATTCCACATGCAAATCATGTGGTATTTGCCCTTCTTTGACTCATTTCACTGAGCATTGTATCATCCAGGTCCATCTATCTGTGCTACAAATGGCAAGATTTCATTCTTTTCTTTATGATTTATTACATCATGTGTTTTTATACAATGCACCCACATGTTCTTTATTCATTCATCTATCAGTATACACTTAAGTTGTTCAGTATCTTGTCTATTATAAATGCTGCAATGAGTATAAGAGTGCATATATCTTATTTAATTACCACTTTCACTTGCTTTGGGCAGATATCCAAAGTGGAATTTCTAGATTGTCTGGTAATCCAATTTTAATTTTTTTAAGGAACCTCCACACTGTTTTTCACAATGGCTGCTCCAGTTTGCATTCCTACCATCAGAGCACAAGAGTTCTCTTTTCTTTACATCCTTGCCAATACTTATTTCTTTCAATTATTTCAATACTGTTTTGATTATAGGCATTATAACTGGTGTGAGAATGCTGTTGTATGAATTTATAAGTATCAGAGTAAAGGAATGCTTGTTTTGCCATTTTTGTAATGATTATCAGGTTTTCTCCAGCAAAGGCAAAATACCTTACAATGAGAAATTTCAAAAAGGGTCTTGATTTTCCTAAAATCATGTACACACACACACAAGTGAAACTGTCTGTTATTAAAACAACACCAAAATTGAAGTTGTACGCTATGTATTTTTCAAAGTACATATTAAGAAATGAAGATGGAGTTAGTAGATACTGTATGCTTCAGGGAAGATTTTCTGAGAAAGCTCAACCCGTGCCTCCTCAGCTTATGACATCACTCTGGAGTCCTTCTTGGTATTAAATGTTGTACTCACAGCATGGAGATTGTTAGGGTCGGGAAAAATGATCTGCACGTAGTGATGATTTGTGACTATGAATATACCTGACAAAGTGGAGAAGCAGTCCAAGTAAAGGGGAGCTCATATGCCAAGGAAAAGCTTTGAGATTATGAATAAATAAATTGGGAATGCTAGCATGCAGGGTGGCCTGAAGGCTATTTAGAAGATTAAATGGAAGAGGGAGGCATGAGGCAGACGATAGAGGGCCTTATGCACCACGGTGATGAGTTTGGATGTCATCCTTTATGATGGTGATGTCCAAAGGTCCTATGGTGCTCTGGACATTCCCCCGCGGAGGGGAAACTGCAGGGCACTGAGTGCATAGAAGGGGCTCCAACGCTCTGTCACTGTTCAGCCAAGGCTTACAATAAGAATCATAGTTAATTTGCTTTTGTCCATACATAAGTATGCGAATAAAAGTTGGCAAGGCTAAAAAGATTAAAAAACTACTGGAGATAAAAGTATGTGCACGTATGTGCGCGCGCGCGCGCGCACACACACACACACACACACACACACACACACATACACACACAAAAGCTTACTGGAGGCCAAAGGAAACTACAGAAGGATTTTGAGTAAGACAACATATGGTGTGTTTTAGAATAATCACTCTCCGTCCAGATTAGAGTATTTGTCTCCAACCTGAAGTGTCTGTATTCCAGGTATGTTGGTTGTAGTCCATTGGCACCATCGCGTCTCATCTGCCCTAAGGCTGGGAAGGAGATTTCCCCTTAATGCCTTTCCAGTAGGTGTGCATTAGCTATCTGATGAGAGGCCCTTGCCGAGATTTCACAGGCACAGGTGAAGCACATCCCGTTATACGCAGGAGGCTGTGGGAGTCACAGGGGGCGGTCCCACAGGGCTGTTGCCGGAGACCTGCAGAAGCTCCCACTTCACGGTCGTCCTTGGGGTCAGACCTGTTGCTTCTCAGACTCCTGTAAACCCCAATTCTCCCACTTCGAGTTGAGGCAGTGACTGTTTCTGAGACCCTCTGACTGGCCCTGGAGACGGACTTCACTTCCCAGCCGCTCCCTCCCTCAGGTAAACTGTAATTCTTGAGTTATCCCTTCAGTCCCGTAGTATTGTAGCTTCCCTTATCCTGACGGAACCCAGACTGATACTTGTGTGTGTGAAGTAACCCACTGGATGGAGAAGATCATGTTAAAACTCTTTATGTTTTGATCTCTCCATGTTACACCATTTTATGATCTACATAAGGGTAAAAGAATAAGCACACATAACTTATAAAGAAGTCAGAGTGCATGTGTAGGATGTGTGCTCAATTTGCTCCCTTAAGGAGGTGTGAAGTTTCCAAATTTGAGAATATTGATCGAGAAAATGGCCTGAGTAGAGGGACGAAGCTGCAGGCCGAATGTTTCGTCGGAAAGCTATTGTAGAAGTCACCTGGAAGAGAATTTATGAGGGTCTGAAGTGAGGCTGTGGCAGGGGCAGTCTGGATGTAAGTAGTACTTAGGAGGTAAAATAAATAGGAAGCAGTAGCTGATAGATCACCTTTGAGGAGGAAAGAGAAGGACACTTCAAAGATGACTTTGTAGCTCAGGTGCTTCCTTCACACCGCAGGAGCTGCCGGTTGGTTTTGTTTGTCATTCCTCTCATCCAGCTCAACAATTTAGAAAAACAATCATCCAGGGCACCTGGGTGGTTTAGTCCGTTAAGTGTCCTACTTGGCTCAGGTTATGATCTTGCAGTTCGTGAGTTCAAGCCCCGCTTTAGGCTCTGTGCTGACAGCTCAGAGCCTGGATCCCACTTAGGATTCACTTACACTCTGTCTCTCTCTCAAAAATAAGGAATAAAAAAAAATTTTTTTTAGGAAAACAAACATCCACCA